ATCTTCGACAAAGATTCATGTAGACTACGTACGAACAAATTATAAGAAACATTCAATAAAATATAGAGGAAGTCAAACCTGGAATAACCTTCCACCAGATATAAAAATGTCTAAGTCAATATATATCTTTAAGAAAAAAATCAAAGAATATCTTCTCTGTAAATAATCTTCTTGAAAAAAAATGTATTTAGCAAAAATTAAAATATATATATACATATGTATTGAAATATGATTTAGGTAATGAATAGTTAACTAATAGCCATGTTATTGTAAAGTAGGTAAAAACATGATGTAACAGGGGCTCTCCTTGTAAGCCCAGTAGGGTTTGTTGAGAGCTCCTGCTCCCTTATCATAACTATGACTTACACTACTGTAACTATCAATCATGGGGCAAATAAACTTGAAACTTGAAACTTGAAACTTTGGCGTACAGTAATAAAAGGTCACGCAACTTCATCTGTACCACGCATCGTCGGGCAATACAGTATCTTATATTGCGGCACGTGTTTAGCCACTGATGGAAGAATCACACAATACTAGAAAGTACAAGGCCCCCATTTTTTTCTATTTTCCATTTTTTTTACGCTTTTACAGTACTGTATTTTTATTTCAGTCGTAAATCGAGTACAGCTGATAAGGCTCTGTGTTTAAATTGCATTGCGAAATTGAAAAAAAAAAATGCCTGGTGACACAGTAAGTCACATTAAAATAGAACCTCGCAGCCACTCACTCAAGCAAACAACCCTTGACAACTTAATTTCACGAAAGAGAAAGTAAATGATGTACAAACTGATGTACTCACTGTACTTTACTAGCTTTGTTTTGTTAACATTCCTGTTCTGAACATCATTTTGGTTTCTGTTTTATTGATACATTTTGATTGTGTTACGTATTCATATGCTATAATAAGCATTTTTAAATAAAAATGTTGTCCCCCCAAAAAAAAACAAATGGTGTCATATTACACCCCTACCTCCCCATAACGGCCACCTCTCTACAACGGCCACTTACCTCTGTCCCCAAGGTGGCCGTTGTGGAGAGGTTCGACTGTATTTCGCATTTCGTGCGTTTTGATATGAAACCAGGCAGCAAAAAGCAAACGTATAAACATAAAAATTTCTTGCACTTTTTAAATTCAAAATGGATTAATGACAAACAATTGCAAGAAACTTTATGTGACATGTAATTTACAATTTACGGACAAATGTATCTATCGATTGACAGGATTTTGCTGCGGCCTTTCTATTTCGCTCTTCTGTGACCTCTGGCTCTGTTCGGTCCATTTTATCCAATATTGACACACATGCTGAGCCCTTTTGCAGTTCATTATTGGGGTACCCAGTCTTCTCTCATTTTGATAGAGCCTGGGGATTAAAATTCCGTATGAGGGTTTTAGGTCGAATTTATCGTTAACGTTAAATTCAGCTTATAGAATCTCAAGATCTGGTCCAAAATTTAATATGTCACCCAGCAAATCTACAAATGGCGGACCTTCGATGTTATCTTCGTTGATTCAGGCTTCATTTCCAGACTACACCAGTTAGCGAATTAGAGCTTTTCATTCACTTTATTTTCAGCCATCGGTCCACGGACGCACCTGTCGCATCCCTCGCCCTACGGGCCTGATTATTTTAGTGTGGTTAGCCAAAGCAAGAGATGTTGCCTTAGGGCTAGGGTTATCAAATGCAATACACCAAAGAAAAAAATAACAAAACCAACAAAGTTGCTGCACTATCCTCAACGGCGACAACTCGGAGAACGAAGTCTTGACCTATATTATCAATTGAGAGGTCTGGTGAGAGTTAACGAAAGCCATTGGCGTGGAAATGTTTATATCTAGTATGTCTAGTATACATGTTATAAAGGGATGATGTGGATTCATGACTGCTGGGTAGAGAAAAATATAACTTACTGATTGAAATCGTGAGAGTCCCTAACCCATTTCGTTTAATTGGCTCATGGGCTACATGTATGCGCATTCTCTGAGTAAAAAATGCAGTAGCCATGAGCACGCCTCGCGGGCCTATTTTTTATTTCTCCACCGCAAGTATTTGAATTATTCATCTCTTGTAGGAAAAGACGATTAATAAGCTTATTCCTGACTTCATAGGTTAACTTTAAGATGCTCAGCTTCACAGATTAGTATTAAAAATAATCACTTTTCTTATGCACACATTTTTGATTTCTAGACAGAAAGTATTTGAATTATTCATCTCTTGTAGGAAGAGTGTGAATGTTAAAACCTTTCACGACAAACGATTAATAAGCTTATTCCAGACTTCATAGGTTAACTTTAAGATTACTGTGTAGAAACTGAAATATACACCTATTTCAATTAACGTTGTCGGATAAAAATAGGATAAAAGCGTAAAGCCTACAAGACACGACCAAATGGTAGTCTGGGTATTCATTAGAATTTGCATATCGCTGGAAAAGAAATCTACACGTTTTGATTTCGCACGTGATGTATTTGGTTTGCCCCGAATTATATAATTTATTTTTCCATGTTTTTTCACTAGCTTATGTATTTGATTCTGCTAAAATTTAGTTTGGCTAAAAGTAGCTTACTTCTACAGGTTTAAAACAAAAAGGAAACGTTATAAATAATGTTTTACATGTTACTTCTCATTAGTATTCGGTGCGTGCAGCAGTTTTCTACTTTTACCCATGCTACCTTTCGGTATTGTCTTGCGGGCTTTTAAAAACATTTATATTCGACAACGTTAATTGAAATAGGTGTATATCTAAATGCCATCAACTAATGACAAATAGTCATTTGAAAACATACCTTAATTTATCTTAATACCACTAATCCAAGGACACTAATCACGTTTACAAAAACATATACCACGGGGTATCGTAACTGCGATCAGGAAGAGAAATCCCAATGCGGATTGCTTCATGCTCATAGCACAATACCTCTATTGCATCATCTTTACATGACCAGAGATTGCGTCATGTCAACCGTGGGATCGAATAACGAGAAAAGGTCACACAACAAAATTTAGCACATTTTGCAACAACACTGCTGTTCGCTGCTGTGGGACATTTGTCTTTGCTTTTTCCAATGCGATTACTGTAATAAACTAAATACATCTACGCACTTACACGACACTACAGAAAGAATGTGGAAGAGAAATTCTCTACTGGCTAATTTTAGAGCGAGATGCGATAACATCATGTCAACCGTGAAGAGGACTAAGGCTAGCGACATGAAAAAAAAAGTGCATTTCTTGAAGCGGCTCGATGCCCATGATGCATCGGCCGCTTAATAAATGATAACCGATGTGTTTTCACGAGGCAGTTTTTTCTCGCTTAACATTCCTTGAAGTGATTTGTTTACCGACCTCGTTAAGCAGCTTAATTAATTTACGCGTTTCCACAACAGAGCTCTATTCGTTTTTCAGGAAATTTGATCCTTGTTATTCGTGCAATAACATGAACGATGGCGGGAAACGACGACGCTTGCAAATATGTTATTCTTATGTTTATTGCTGTGCTCTCGCGCTTGTTCCATGATCGAAGGAGGAGAAGGTTTCAGCAAAGGCTTAGGTTGCTTGCTATTCGAAGTCAGAGAAGAAGAATCGAAGCCTGTTGCTTCCAAATAGCTATGAGAAATCGGATCTCTGCATCCGACCAGTTACGAGAACGGCCTTTGGTACTCGCGTTGTTTTCTTTGCTGGAACTTTCTTCAATTGCACCACTTGAACTCTGGTACTGGGTCATGGCTTCGATTGTTGGCGAATATGGTCGGGAAAATTCGTTTTGTGGAAGCCTCAGTTGATTTTGCCATGCTGGAAAAATATACTGTCCACGTGCGGCATCGGCAAAATTATCGCCGTAACCACTCACTTGAGGAATAACGAAGGGAGACCTAAAGCAAATTATTTGTTAAGTTAGCTGAATGCTTTGCATTTCTAATGTTGAAAGGAAGGAAACTCACCTTGTATGGCTTGCTCGTGGGTCATTTGAAGAAGGAACGCGTCTGGGATCAAACGAATAATTATTCATCTTGCTTCTGTTGCCACAGAAGTTTCGCGGGAGGCATAAAAATAGAACGCATGTGACAGCCTTATCAGATAAATGACCACAAGTTCCTTCTCATTGGCGGAAATTAATTGCCGACTCGCTTAAGCTACCTGGTTTGGTGGCTTAAATTTAATGAGAATTCTATTGAAGTACGCCGACTCGTTTAACTTTAAGCTGACTTTAAGCGAGTCGGAAAAGTAACTGTTTTCACGAGATTTCCGGTTGTCACTCGCTTAGCGACCTGAAAAAGCGCTCGTGAAAACACGGCCAAGGGTGGCATGTATTCACAAATATAGTCAACAAATTAGCAGCCACTGTGGTCATGGGGAATCAGGCAGTTGTATGTTCATAATTCTTGTTTGACTTGCTTACAATTTCCATCCGCAGCACTTGGTTTTCTGTTAGAATTTTCTTATCATTCATGAGTGGCTCATAGAAGCCTTTGATTCCGAACAGCGGCTGGTAATCGAGCCTACAAATGAGGCTAATGAGCCAATACAATGCCAGACCCTTTCGCCTCGTTTGTATGTCAAACCGCTGACATCTGTAATAACTGCTATTGTTTCCAGATAAATTTACCCTTAAGTCGCAAAGTTTGGTGGCTTTTGCCAAAAAAATAAGATGGAATTTTTTTACAGCTCCCCTTGGAAGCATTCCTGAGCTGCCCGCTGAATCTTGTGAAGAAATCAAGGCGAGTGAAGGAGGACAAGCGGTCAGTGGCAAGTACTGGATTGATTCTATTATACCAAAGAAAGCTGTTCTTGTTCACTGTGAGACAGGTAAATTAAATGTTGTCTAACTTATCCCGATTTATGTAGCATGAAGCGACTAGGAGGGATGCTACTCCCCTAGAAGGGATGCTAGTCCACCGCAGGTTACCCCCCAGCATTTTGTCGCCGGTACCCATTTATACCCCTGGGTGGAGAGAGGCACTGTGAGAGTAAAGTATCTTGCCCAAGAACACAACACAGTGACCCAGGCCAGGGCTCGAACTCGGACCGCTCGGTCCGGAGTCCAGGGCAATAACCATTAGGCCACCGCGTCTCCACTAATATTATTATGGAAAACTAATGTAACAGTAACACTTCTTTATTAGGGATGGACCATTTTATTTTGAGGAGGGGGGTTGGGCAATTACCAAAATAAAATTCCTGCACAGCAAAAGTAGAGAAAAAAAAAATCGTGCAAAGCGAGTTCACTCACTCACTCACAAGCAAAATGTGAAAAAAAAATTATTGCACAAACTCAAGACGGAAAAAAAATTCGCGATACTAGGTCGTTATAGTTGTGGAAATAAAAAAACAATCGAAAACCTCGCAATCAGTAAAACTTTACTGACCGAAACTTTTAGGCGATACCAACCAACATAGTATATATGGCAAATAAAATCTACAATATCAGAAATAGGTATGTTTAATTTCAAGAAAAGAGAATCAGGTTACCATAAAAAGTAGCTAGTTTTTGGCATTGTCATGGCAACCGCGAAATTACATGCATGTTTACCCAAATTGTGAATTTTCAGATAATAATTTTCAGACGAACTACTAATAATTCTTTGTTAGTAATGATATTTTTCCAGCAACATCCCATCAGTAATTATATACGCCCGGTATAAGTCATTCTCGTCCCCAGAGTCCGCGATCCTTCTGGTCAGCACCAAGGAAATCTCGGACTCTGGCGGGGACAGAAATAACGAATTTTTTGATTGGCTGTTGAAACAATGAACAGTCAAAAGACAATAGAAAAGGAGTAATCTGCGCAAGCTCAGAAAATCGGTACCAGCCAGAGGTCTCGATTCTTGTTGCTGACCAAAAGGATCGTGGCCTCTGGGGACGAGAATGGGTACACGTTAGTCTCCTGCGCAGCCGTTATTTGTGTCGTCACGCTGTTGTTGTTGGTCAGGCCGGGTTTTGTATCGATTTATGCTTTTTTCTGACGTCAAGAGAAAATAGTGAAATTTAATGTAATTTAATTGTAGAGGAAGCACAACATTAACGAAAACCCATGTAAGAGGGGTCAATCAGGTCGAACCCCTTTTATAGTCCTGGAGATATGACTTTGAATGTACGTCCGAGAGTTTAAGGAACATAAAATGATTTATCGCCGTATAGTCTTTTAGAACATTCAGAGAAGAGCTATGTTTGATTTCATATTACTAAAGGGGCAACTTGTCCTGTTCAAAGAGTAATTCAGTCATGCAACGTTTGTTAATTTGCGGTTATCCAATGTTTTAGGAATATGTCCAAACAACTGGGTTGACATGCAATTTTCCTGCTACAAGTTCGTTTCCAAGGCATTGAATTGGACTGCAGCAAAATCCGCCTGTGAAACACTCGGATCCAAGCTTGTCGTGATAAAGTCACAAGCTGAACAACAAGCGCTTGGCTCAAAAATACCAGATACTCAGTTTACGTGGATTGGTTTATACCGGGATCCTAAAGACAAGAATCGCTGGCTGTGGGTTGACGGAACAAGTCCAAATTTCACTCACTGGAACACTGGAGAACCTATAGCAATGTTCAGGAGGAGTGTGCACTTATGTTACAAAAGGTGCATGGATGGAGATGGAACGACGGAGGATGTACAGATTCTTTCCCTTACATTTGTGAAACTCCTATTGGTGAGTCAGAAAACCCCGGGGGGGACTCCCATATAAAAGTGACGGGGATGATCGCCGGAAATTTTGAAAAGAACCCCTAAAAGGTAACAAAATCCCGTTTCGTGGTGTGGCTCGGATTCATTTTCACCCCTAAGAGGTACCAATTCTAAGACAAAACTAGTCCCTGTTATATATTTTTCCAGCTTAATACCCTAAAAGGTACCGGAATAACTCTAACGGCAGTCATTTTAGATTTTAACACCCTAAGCGGTACCAAACCACGAATTTTAACCCCTAAAAGGTACTGCGATCACCCCGTCACTTTTATATGGGAGTTCCCTCCCCCGGGCAGAAAACATCTCATGTTGTGGTATGTCGTTTCTTAAATTTTGAATTTTGACAGAAAATCGTTTTCCAACCTGTTCGTACACTTTACACAACGTGTTGTTCATGCACTCCTTTGCCGGTATTTTGAACGAAAAAAAAAAGGCATTTCAAAAGATTTTTTAACTCTCAAACCGTTTTCTATATATATGGAACTCACAAAAAAACGAAATAAAAAATTTCGTTCCGTCGGGTCATATACACCGTGAATTTCGTGTCGAGTCAACCTCGCATTCTTTTTTTTTTTAATCCAAGCTTTGTTACTCTATTTCCTATTTGTCAGCCAACTCACGCCAAAAGCTTTCTCTGTTGAGGAGTGATGTCCGTGATTATCCTTCCCATTGTCTCTTGTCCAATCAAAAGTATTAGATAGTGAGTTTTGGCTGGGACTGGACAAGATACACCGTCTGACCAACAGTAGCAAATACAAGCTTCGTGTTGATCTGGAAGACTTGTCAGGGAACACTGCTTACGCCGAGTACGATTTGTTTGCTGTTGGGAGTGAGGGGACTAAGTATCAGCTGAGCGTAGGAAGTAACACCGGTTAGTTTTCGTATCTTTCATCTCTTATTAACGCGAGTTTGTGGAACATATTTTCTTGATAGAATCTGTAGTGTGTTTTTAACGATGAGACGCCATAAATGAAATAAGATTTTTACGGACAAGAAGATGCCGTGAAATGCTATTTCAATTTGTTTGTTTGTTTGTTTTGTTTTGTTTGTTCGTTCGTTCGTTTGTTCATTTGTTATGCCTCTTTGTTCCGCTCTTCTTAAGGGGGGACTTAACCTAAATTCTAATGAAATTTTAAGAGGTTTAAAGAAGGGTTGGAAGAAAGAAAATAATTTTTGGAACACCAACAGACAGTTGATACCCACGCGGGTGCTCTTGCGTGGTTATCAACTGTCGTCAATTGTCAATCTACTAATTTTTAACTTCAAATTCTAATTTTAAAACTACATCAAATCTTCAATATTTCTTATTTTCCCTAAATTTTACAACTCCTTTGAGAAAAACTATTTCCTCCCCAAAATACCCAAAAATCACCCAAAAATTTACAAAACACCCCATAACATAGATTCATGGGATGAGTGGAGAGTTTTTGGATTGCTTGAAACGCGAACGAGATATTTCCATTAAACCCATGTTAAGTGGCGGAAAAATGGCATTCAGGTAGAATCCCGCCTTAATACAAGCCGCTTCGGCGAGTGATTCTGAAATATTACAAGCCGGTATTAGTATAGGTAATAGCATGAGTTGTAGTAGTATTTGGAAATATTACGAGCCGGTATTATTTCCAAATACTACGTACAACTCATGCTATTATTTGTTTATAATACAAGGCAGATATCCTACCCGAGCATGTACACGACGATCGTAGACTGTCATTGGAGCTTCGTTTTGAAACGTTTAAGCAATGGAATGCTTTGTTCAGCTTAGTTATACCACACAAAAGTGTTTTGCTTTCAATATTCGTAGGTTTTTGGACACTTTGACAGATAATCTCGTTGAAATGCCCACTTTAGTCCACACGCTAAACAATAGAAATGTCCGCCATCTTGGGGTTTTTTCCTTAGAGTCAATTGTTATACTTGTCATATTTGGAAACTGTAATTTCTACATGTAAGCATTTCAGTATTTGAGATAAATACAGCTCGTTCGAACCCAGGTACCAATCACCGTTCAGAAATTTCGCAGCCTGTATTATAATTACTAAAATACCACGTACAACTCATGCTGTTATTTGTAGCTGACTACGACGATCATAGCTGAGATGTCGTTGAAGCTTCGTTTTGAATGCAACGTAGTGCTTTTTCAGCTCCGTTACACCACACAAACGTGTTTTGCTTTCAATATGTATTTCAGTATTTCAGATAAATACAGCTCGTTCTAACCAATAACCGTTCAGAAGTTTATCGGCCTGTGTTATAAATATGGTAATACATTGTAATTAACTTTCTGCTCAGTTATTTGGTTTAGGAACCGCTGCAGATTCGCTGACGTCAGATCATAATGGTTTTCCATTCACAACAAAAGATCAAGAATTACATGGAAAGAGGATGATCCTAGTGCTAGGATCATCCTAGCAAGAGGGTCAAAGATAGCCCCGGTTTACAAGCAAAATTTCACAGGTAGGATCCCCCTACTGCCCGGGACAATTCAGGCGTCACGCTTGTAAATAAAACACGCAACGGATAATAAATTTAGCGCCAAAACCGATTTTTCGCTTTAATTACGTAGCTTATCAGTTCCAATAAAATCATAGTCAATTTCTAAAGCTCACTAAAATCCAAGACATAAGTTTTCTTAAGTTTGGAACGCGTTTGACGGCAAAACTATAAACTATTCTGCTATCGAGTATTTTAGCGACAGTAGCGACAAATATTATATCGAAAATTTCGTCGCAAAAAGCCGTTATCCGAAAATTATTTACTTACAAAGCAAAGGTAAAACAAATTCTGAATGAATACGATGTTTTTTGGTCACAAATAATTGATTTTGTTGGTATTTTGAACATATTTTGCTTCTTGAAGTCAAAATAAAGTTGTCCCGGGTAGGCGAGTTGTCCCTAGCAAAGCGTTTACAAGGGCAAAACATAACCCTGGCGCTAGGATCATCCCTCATCTCAGATAGGATCATCCTAGCGCTGGGATCATCCTAGTGCTAGGGACAAATGCAACCCTTCGCATGTAAACTGAAAGCAGAAAACATGTCGCGCTAGGATGATCCGCCTGCTAGGATGATCCTAGCACTAGGATCATCCTCCTTCCATGTAAATAGGGCCCTGGCGTGGATTCTATCCAGCTAAAAGAGCTGAAATGAAGATCAGACCGTTGGATTTTTAGAAATCTGCACTTTTGGCGGACCTTTCTTACGATTCATGGGTATTTCAATTTTGTTTTATTCACACTTTTTTCAAGATTACAGTAATAATGTACATAAGGAATTAAAAACGGTTGTTAGTGGGAATAAATAAAGGGCGTATTTCGTGTGCAGAGGCCAAAGTAGCAGAGCTTTCGAGTTGGCCCCTGCATTTGAGAGAAAACTAATTTATTTGCGCCGTTATAAAGCCGCATTTATGATAACTCACGTGCTGTCAACGACAGAAACTTTTGTGAAAACAAAACTGTATCAAATAGTGTATTTAAAGGAACTTTCAACACAGATATACACCGTGATTATAGATCATTCTCAAACTCATTAATTATTCATGAGGTCAACAGCTAATAAATAACGCCCATTTAGGTCAAGTGGATTAATCTTGATACCCAGTGAAACACCATATCCAAATTTTCAGGGTTTTGATGTGGTTTTGATCTGAGATCCAATTTAATGTAATATAAAGATTATTGCGGCATTTATATGACTTATACTTTTAAAAACTATATAGATGTTATTGAACTAGCGTGAGGTCCGTATTGGGAAAATATTGGTCGAGTTCTTTTTTTGCAAGTTTATGGACCGAGCCGTCCATAAACTTGCAAAAAAAGAACGAGACCAATATTTCCCAATACGGACGGAACAAGCTAGTTCAATAAAGTTTTTATTATAATGGCTTTTTTAAAAATTTGCTGATAAATTAATGCAACCATTCTCGGCTAACGCGCGCGCGCCAAAGCTAAGCATATTCTTGCATTTTTCAGGCCGCTTTGCGAAAAGTTTAACCAAAATTGTCCGCTAGACATGAGGAAAAATGTTTCTACTTAATAGAAAACAGTTTTCTTTTGTTCAATGTTTCATAAAAGGAATTCGGCGAAATGAGTTCGTGAGCGGTCCATCTTAGTGGTCCGTATTGCAAAATTCGGACCGCTCAGGGAACCAATCAGAATGCTCCTTTTCATCGTGGACCAGTTTGCCATATAATAAAAATTATTACCATTGGATAATTTTTCAAAGGAAAAAAAAAAGAGTTCAAAGTTTGACCAACAGTAGTCGAACCCGTGACCTTACGCACAGTAGTCGGACGCTCTATGATTGAGCTACAAGATATTTGAATGACTTAGGCCATTAAAATAGATTATCATCATGCTCGAAAAGCAAAATAACCAATTTTCATTCATTTACATTTGACTTCTTTTCCCCAACGCATTTAGAAACTGTTAATTAAGAACTGCAATGCAAAACAATATGTCATTACAACTATTCTGAGCTTACGTTTGTTAACCGTAAAATAAGAACAGAAAAACAATGGTCAACTACTACTAATTAGTGCTTTCTTTTTAAAGCTTTTGTTTGAGAATGTTTAACAATAGTTCACCACTCGTTTGAAAAGCTATACCAAACACTTGTGCTTCGGGTTTCATCAGGTTAAAATCAAACATCGCACAAGAGCGCAGTGCGCGTTTCACCGCCCATCCTTTCCAGCGCCCTGGGGTAACCTAACACCTCGAAACAATAAAAGTCCTCGGCCTACGGCATCGGGCTTTCATCTGTTTCTCGTTCTTTGGATACCTTGATGAAACCCTAGCACTAGCACTCGTGTTTGATGTATAACGTAAAGTTGACTTTATGTAGGATACGCGGTGGCCTAATGCATGGTTAGCGCGTTGGACTCGATCGAGCGCTGGCGCAGGTCACAGTGTATGGCTGAATATGCTAATATTCCAAAATTATTGCCAAAAAAAAAAAAAAAAAATGTTGACAGTCAGTGATGCAACCTACTCGGGAAAAAAAATTCGGAGTTCTTCCAACAGGAGTCGAACCTATGACGTTTCCGCCCACCGGTCGGACGCTCTACAACTGAGCTACAGGAGACTCGTGGTAACTTTCCATTAACTACGTTCAAATGTAACAAATTACTTTCCTCATACTGCTAGCATTAGATTTGTCGTTGAGTGAGAATTGGTTGTTTACCATTTACCAAAAAAAACTGAATCCGGGAACTCCGGATGGAATGTAAATGGGAAGACTATTTTGGTCTTCCCAAACGGAAAATTTCCAGACAAAACGAGATTTCTTGAAAGGTAGACCAAAATTCCCAAACGGAATTTATGAACGGAAATGTGTGTCCCATTTGCTTTTATCTACCAGTTCCAGGCCACTCAGCTCGCGTTTCTGGCTGTCAACAACATGGCTTCTGGTATGGCTTTTATATGTACTTCCATTTCGACGTGTACTGCAAAGAAAAGCCAAAATCTGTTTCTGTTGTTACAGGACACTACAAATATTTCTAGGGTTAATTTTAAATTAGGATATATCGATTAGTTACGACGGTATATTCTGTGATTTGAGGTTTAAATAAAAATAAGTATAAAAGGTTTCATGATTATGGAAATTGCCGCAAACTAGGCAAGAAACGATTTTAAAATATGACTGTATCAACGATTTGATGATCCGATAAATGCTATATGAATAATGAAACATATTTATTGTAAAAACAGTTATTCTTACACGCATGCAGGACAAGCGCCTGACGCATGAAAATTATATATTCCTTCACTAATAGAGTCTTGTGATCTTCCGAGTAAGGCCTTCTGTGAGTTGCCTCCTTGTTAGTTGCATTTTATGGTATTTCGTGATTTGAGTAATTATTAAGAAACTTCTAGTTTAATTTAGGTAGACTTGTTGTCTCCCAAACCTGACAAGCTTCGAGATATGTCCCACCTCGAGATTTTAGCAGGGAAGATTTACGTAGATTTGGACTATGGCTTTTCCTTTTAAATAATAAATGATCTATTAGCAGTTCGTGTTTAAATTATAAATAAAGGCTTGGGTGTGCCTCACCCTGGCCGAAAAGGTCAACTATTCCACCCGGCTTCAACTTGATTTAAAGTTCAGTTTCATTCGGACAGCATTTAAGTTCTGTATATTAACTTGCTCTGGAGATCACTTCTATATTACTTATAATCTATAACATGGTAGGAACTAAACTTCAACCTGACTAGAAGAAATGTATTCAAATGAAATATATCCTTATTTAAATTGAAAAGTTTTGTCACTGACTCTTTTCATTGTTGTATCGATTGAGTATCGTAAAACCAAAACCAAAGTAATTGCAATGGCCAATCACAACAAATGTAAACAACGCAATGAACCAATGAGAGCTCAAAGCAAATACACGTAACCGGCTCCAAGCGCGGGAAAACACGTGTGACCAAGTCGCGATTGGTTTTGGTTTTACATGTGATTGGTTGAATAGGTGGCGCGAGTTTTTTAAACCAATCACAGAGCGTAGTAAAGCAAAACCAAAGCAATTCAGTGATTACTTTCGACAGTCAATTGAAAACCACTCTATAACAGTGAAAAGAGTCAGTGACAAAAGAAAAGACAAAACTTTTCAATTTAAATACGGTATGTCAACTCCTGACTACTCGTATTCGATTTTTAGAAATATATCCTTATCTTATGGGTTTGCCCACGCCAGGGTAGACGCAGTTTTTGATTGTAAAGCATGATTATAGTGGAAAAGATATATAAGAAACGATCGTGAAACTAGAATTTTGAAGAAGGTAAAACTTGGACTAAGTGACTGTGAAAGAGAATGTAAGCGTTACCAACTGATGTGAAGCTAAGCTTGAAAGGAAAGAACTGAACTGAACTCGAAAGACAAGCATTGTGAGCTAATGTAAGTAAAGAAAACTGGAGTAAGTCACTCAATAAATGTTGTGTTCATAGCATCAAAAATGGTGTGTTAGTCGACTGGAGTACCTCCGCTGATCATGAGCGGATTTAAGGACAAAATCCCCCTTTAACACTGTAGTGGAATCGGTTTCTCCCAAAGCGATTTCCTGTAGGAATTGCACCTTTAGCTGCCAACGCTCGTGTAAGTACTTCGAAAGTGTTTTTGGTCATTCGAACGTGAAATCTGAACTCATCAACTAAAGACGGCACCACAACTTCATAAAAACCGATCTTGCTATTAAGATCTCTCTTCATCAAAGCTGCAGTTGCTCAGTGTGGATTTCTTCGCCGTACTCATAATCGAAAAGTAAGTTCTCATCAATATTGATGCATCCACAACCTCGTTCAACATGACCATCTCGACCACTATTTTCAAGCTATGCTTCCTTTGGACTCCAGTCACTTTACACCTAATATGATTTTGTTTATTCGTATTGTTACTCGCTTGTAATTTATGGTGAAAGTGAAATAAAATTTGATTGAAGATTGGTGATTGACGAGTCATCACAAATGGCCAAACTACAACCTAAGACAGAAGTGTTGGCACGATCAACAGAATTAACTTCCCCACCCCCCCCCCCCCCCCCCCCCTCCCCGTCTCAATGTTGGGTTGCAACCACATAACCTCCAAACGAGGTGCAACATTGTTACGGGGGGGGCATCTTTTGTCATAGTCAGGTGCAGCATTGTTACGAGGGGGGGGATCTTTTGTCATAGTCAGACACTAACTTTAACGCCGGGAGTTTTGCTTACCATTTGCACAAACCATGGACTAACCGGATTTCTCCTGTAAATGGTAAACAATGGTATAAGCTTGGTAGAAATATTCTCTTGGATAATAATTATCCCGATAACTTTAGAAACGGCCTCATTTGCCGAAATAATTTTAACATTTACTTTATTTATCTTTTACCTAAGCATGTAATAAAGGTGTCCACAGTTATCGCTGCACTTATTGTGCTAACGATCGACACGTTAATAAAGCTTTGTGTTTATTTGTTTGCAGTGTTGGTTTGTTTATATTTAACTCACATATATAAATCCTCTTTGAACATAGTGACATATTTCTTTGAACATAGTGACGTAAAACGGGGTGGTCGTATGGCGGGGTTCCACTGTACTTAAAATATATCATCATTTCTTATCAACAAAAATAGAACACTGTTCACGAAGGGACCCAATTGTTATAAAAATTAGATTTACATTCACCAGATGCTTTCCTCAAATGTTTGGCCTTTGTCTAACTGCTTGGCTTAGTAGGTACGTACAATAGTATAATTTATAAACTAGGAGCCTGCTTAGCTTGAGGTGATAGACAGTTACACAAAACAGCTCCCCTATAGGCGAAAATCTTTTTGAGGGCTTCTGTGTTTGGTCTTGGTATAAATAATTTGTGTTCAGAGCCCCGAAGGTTGTGATTGTGGATGTTGTTCGCCATATGAAAAATTTTTCAGAAATGTATTTGGGGACCTGTTTGTTCATAGTTTTAAACATCAGTGTTTTAAATTGATTATCTCGTCTATCACCCAAGCTCGGCCAGTTGAGATCACGAAGAATCTGAGAAGATCTAACATCCCAATCGGATCCAGTTATTATGCGAGCGGCCCTATTTTGCAGCTTTTCAAGCCTGAGGCTGAGAACTTTACCAATATTACCCCACACAGCGCTGCAATAGTCGAAGTGCGGTAGGATGAGAGACTTATATATGGATATTAAGATACATTGGGGCAGTATTTCCGTCGACAGAATAGTAAAGGAGAACGTGAGGATTAAGTAAGAGAAACTGATAAGACCTATGATATTCCTAATATTATTCCTTATATGAAATAACGTTAATCACTCAAATCACTACACACCAAAGTGGAGTCTATTTGTGAAGCGAATAGTGAGTTCCCCTGCATGAGAGTGATTTTACTTAATCTGTGAAATAGTTACTACACAATTAGATACTATTAGACACCGATTCCATTGTTTTCTTTTGTTTAGTTTTGACTATTCAGCATTAACTGTAAGATGTTGTTTCACGGGTTTGTTACGAGACAGATTTGAAGAGAGGGACTGAAGGCTTGTGGTAACAACAGGTTTAATCTCTTGATGCTTTTCTGGATACAGGTTACAGAGCAGTTCTACTTATATTAGTCAATCAACTTAATTATTTTTCTGGAAGATAAGTAGTATTCTTATGCAGAAATTAGGTGTTTCCAGATGTTCAAAGATCCAAGAACAAAGAAAACCGAAATGATGTGAGGTTTGTTTGATGGTGCAAAAATTTGCAAAACTGCAAATTTCTTAGGAACTAGATTCCGATACAAAAGACAACTCGCTAGATTGAAAGCTAATAACTTGAACTAAGTTTCTGTCGAAAAGGATTTCAGTTTACTGTCGAAGAACCAAGTGAAATCTAGCTGAGTGTAATTCAACTGAAAGTAAATAACCTTGAAGGTGCCAACTTGCTCGGGCGAACCTTAGATTTCAATTAGGCTCGTGAAATTCATTATTATGCAAGTTTTGGCTGAAACGTGCGATCGATCGTGCGCTCTAAGTAAATGTTCGCGTTAAGGAAGATTACTTTTTTTCCGATCTCACAGCTGAAAACACCATCTAAGGAAGCTCCTCAGGAAGCAATAAGTTTTCCAATAAAAGAGTATGTTTATCAGTTCAAATAAATATTTTTATCCTAACTCTATAAGTCGCCTTAGAAATCAGTTTCAGAGTTTCTTAGATAAACACTGCGCAACCTTTATAATTTTGAGCTAATAAACAAAAGAGGTTAGCCTGCGGAACAGGCGTTATTTTTTTTGCGTTTTTTAGGCGAGCGCGAGCCGCGAGTGCGAAGCGCGAGGCGAGCGCGGAGCGCGAGGCGAGCGCGGAGCGCGAGTCAAGCGCGACGGGAGGGGCGCGAATAAAAACGCAAAAAAATAACGCCTGTTCCGCAGGCTAAAAAGAGGTCGGTGCAAGGATTTTTTTGATAAGTAGAGCGCTAGTTTTCATTTCAGTTCGTTGACCTAAAAGTGTGACGACCAGCTGTCGGGGTTGCTTTGGAATATCTTGATATCGCCGACGTGAGTTCTCACTCAGCTTATCCATATAAAATCCTTGTTTCCGCGAATGAGTAAATACTCTGAGCGCTAAAA